CTATTGGGATATCAGTTGGTGGAGGTGTTGATGGCCAAGTCCATTTTTGCGATTGGGTTTTCGACAGTGATGTTGATGGTGGGAACTAGTGACAACAAATGGTAGAGTGGATAATTTGGGTGTGTGGTTAGGAGTGTTCACCCTACTTTACGGGTAGGAAGTATGATTTTCGTCTTCATATACGATATCTTGCAGAATTTTTTTTCTTGGCCTACCATACCCGATCAAGCGTGGTATTCCTACCGACTTCCATCCAAATTAATCGGGTAGAAAATCGGGTGAATATTTTTGTAATTATTAATTTTTAGATCATTTTAATAATTCAATTAAATAACATGCACCAATTTAACAACACAATAAACCAATAACATTAAAACCTACAACAATTACAACAACAATCAGCAAACAGAGTCATGTGAGTTAACTTCTATATTGTTCAGCAAACAGAAAACAACAAACTCTTCAGCAACTTTGAGCATTAAATTGAAGTAACAGTCAGCCCAAAACACACACACATGTATGTCATTTAATGAGACCTTCAATACAAATTATACACACATGTATGTAATTTAAGAAGAAAAACAAGTGACTGAAAATGGAGAAACAAGATGGAACAAATTCTTAAAGAAATCATGAAAGAAGACAAGTTTACCAAATCAGAAATCATGAGCAAATTCTTTAACCACAAGACCAATTTACCAAAGTTACAAACATCAAGTTTAATAAGAAGGAAAAACACAAAAAACAACAAGTTTAATCTCTCTGTTTTTCACCCTTCTCATACCGACTCTTCTCTCCAATTCGCGCACAAACAGTCTATTGAGATAGAGATAGAGATAGAGATAGAGATAGAGAGAGAGAGTACCTGGGAGAGGCGACTGTCGAGGCTAGAAAGGCGATGAAGACTAAAGAGCTTAGATGATAGAGTTAGGGAATTTGGGTTTTCAGTTTATATATATATATATATATAATATATATATATATATATATGCCGGTAGGGTAAGGTATGAATACGAAAATTAATGGGTATTCTGCATGCCTACCCGATTTAATCGAAAAATCAAAAAATCTTTTGTATTCCTACCCAATTTAATCGACTAACCGTTCAATAGGGTCGGATATGGTTGGGTAGGGTAGAAAATTAAGGTTAATCGAAAATTTGAACAGCTCTATGTGTGACTGCGCCGCTAGGTGTTGGGGGTCTGATACGTCGAGAGAGGGGAAGGGTCATGGGTCATGGTGGTGGATGTGGACATAGATTTTGCATTTTTTTCATTAGTTAAATTGATGGTAAAAATAGTTTTTTTGTTAATGCGGCGTCCATGTAATAGGGTCTTAGTGTCATTTTTAAAATATGAGGGAGCATCTGTGTAATAAAATTAAATGCCAAAGGGTGTGGGTGAAATTTCTCTCTCTTTTTTTTTTTTTTTGTTATGGATGACCTTATGTGGCATGATGTGGAGTGATGTGCTAAATAGTCTCAGCAAATATAATTTGGCTGTGAACAATTGCAGGTTTCTCCTTATTATAAAGTATATGCAAATTCCTAACCAAACTTTTCATAAAATTACCACCAAAATATAATGTAGCAAGTTCAAATTGAACTTTAGTCTATAAAATTCTTTATATCAAGATTTTATCATTTTTGATAACTAAATTAAGAGAGATATATTTCAATTAACGGGTAAATAAAAACGTCAAATCTTTGTCGAACTTAAGAATGAGAGACAAGAGATATAAAAACTTAGCTTAACTTCGAACCTTTGCTCAAAAAGCACCTACGTGCTCACCATCCATTGGTTGTTCAAAAATTAAGGCACGTCGAAGTAAAATTATACTCTTTTGGAAATATTAAAGGAAAGAATGCAATTGTCATTTTAACCATGTAATTAAAAGGGTAAAACTCTTTGAACTAAATATTTCTTTAGTCATCACTCATTAGATTGGATTTGCTTAGATATGCTTTTCATTAAAGAGTACAATAATGTTTGTGTGGACTATATTATAGATTAGATAAGCCTCTCATTATAAAATTCTTGCATCAATGTTTTCAAAGATTCTTGCAGATAAGCTTTTCATTACAAAGTGCATGTAAAGTCATTATTGTTCTTGTAATAAATCAATGGCAACCAATTTTTTTATATATATATATTAGAACTGCTCTAAACATTTCATCTTTTAAATTGATGATCGCAACCTAAATCTTGAATGCACACAATAACCTACTACTCACTGGATTTCTATTCCACTAGAAAGACTCAAAAGTATTTTTTCTTTATAGGGGAAATGTTCTAAACACACCCTGATTTGAATTGATATTTGTAAATCAAAACTCAAATGCACTCAATCACCTACTAATCACTAGATTTTTATTCCATTAGAAAGACTCAAAGTTAAGGTTTATGTCATTTCCTCATTTTTTTTTAACTGTTAGGGATATCTAGCCAACGACTAATACTTTCATCGGTTTAGTCAAAAGTAATTATCTAAATCAAAACTAGCGTATTTATAAAAAATAAATTTTTTATACTTTAAGTTAGATGTCTTATTCTTTCATCTTGAACCAAAGGGTAAAAGACAAACAAACTTTATGAAATTTGGATATGAAGACAACACTGGTACTTACAAAACAGTTGCACCCATTCAAGCTGAGGCATAACCACCACCTGACCTTTTCCAGAGTGCCACTGGAATGATATTTGTCAATACATTTGTGTGTGTGTGTGTGTGTGTGAGAGAGAGAGAGAGAGAGAGAGAGAGTAGAGCGTTATACCAATCTGTAGGCAGAGATGATTTGCACCTTTGAAGAGAATCCATGCTATGGAAAACACGACAAGAAATGCAAATAAAGGCCGGCAAGCCCCTCCCTGTCCTCTCCCATTTTTCATTTATATATATACATACAACCCCACTCCCCACAAACCCATTGTTACTTCAGGTACACACATTTCACCACCCACTCTCTCTCTCTCTCTCTCTCTCTCTCCTATATTTGCCTCCACCCGTCTCTCTCTTTTTCTCTCTCTAGATATACATATATATATCTACATGTTTATGTTGTTGAATAGAAAGAGACTAGTGAGAGGGATGTGAGTTTCTCTCTCTCAAAAAACCCAGATTGGTTTGCTTATCATCAGATTTTTTGGTGGACCCATCAGAAAATTAATCTTCATCTCAAATCTCAATCCATATATATAATGGAATTGGGCTTAAGTTGGGTGGTGTTTGTGGGTATTTTTGGTGTGTTTGTGGCTCTAAAATGGATGCTATGCAGTGTTAACCAATGGTTCTATGAGATCAAGCTGGGTGACAAACGCTTATCTCTGCCTCCAGGTGATTTGGGTTGGCCTCTCATTGGCAATATGTGGTCCTTCCTCAGAGCTTTCAAGTCCAGCAATCCTGACTCTTTCATCTCCACATTTGTCACCAGGTGATCATCTCTCTCTCTCCCTCCCTCCTCTGGTGTGGGTGTGGGTTTAGGCTTAGGGGTACTAGGTCAGGCTTGTGGCTAAATGATAAAATGTTTTTAGGTGATATGGTGTTGTACCATTCATCCAGTCTGATCGTGTTTGGTCAAATTTATAATCATTCATTCTTTAAACAGATTTTACAAATATATGGAACAATTCATTAAAATTAGACTCAAATAATTCTAAAGGCTAATTTAAGTGATAAAAATAACGTGCAAGAATATAGATAATCTTTTCAGGGTTTAGGTAAGATAGATTTATTTCTCATGAATATTCTAATTCCATAGTAAATGACCTGTTTTTGATCGAATCGGAGAGGCGATTAATCGATATGTATGTAAATTGATCTGAACACCCTGACCGTTGAATTAAAAAAAAAAAATCAAATTAATTCGTTGATACTGCGTTGATTTCATGTCTTATTTGTGAATCCTGTCCAAAATTGTCAAATGCTAGGAACGAAATTTGGATGTTATTTTCTATGAGAATTTGATTTTTTTTTTGGGATTTATAAAATGTAACATGCAAAATTTTCTTGAATTACCAAAATTCCCCATCATAGAGTTATGGTCATTGATGGAACCCGTCTGTTTTAGACTTTTTTTTCCACTTTATTATTTATTTTCTAGGAAAATAAAATTAACTTGGTTTTGAAAAAAAAAAACAATTAGATTTATCTTGTTTTATAACCAAAGGTCTCCCAATCACTCACCATTTATTTATTTGGAGGGAGAAAAGAATAAAATTAGAACCAGCAACCCGGCATGAGTTATCGTTACCACTGGATCACGCTCTCACCTCACTCCACCATTTAAACTAATGGGTAAAAAAACTTGTATGAATACAATCATCTAGAATCGTTCACCGTTTTTCTCTATGGTTATGTTTTAAACCAACTCGGGTTATGGAGGTCAGTATTTAAGTTCGAGTGAGCAATCAGTACAAATATAAATAGCTCGTAAAGAATAATTGACTTTTCAACTAGAAGGCCCCTTTTTTACACTGCCTTGTCCCTGTCCTTCATGTGTATCAATGCGTCCTTTAGTAAGAGAAAGAATCATATTACATCACAAAAATGTTTCATTGGAGAGAAGAGCAGGCAGTTTTTTGTCATTATTGCTGCCGTTTTCCTTGTCTTCTAATTTTATTTTCCAATGAAAACGACATTTTCCTATAACTTCATTCTGTGTCCTCTTGCCGGGATATTTTTGTCTAATAGTATTATACTACTGCAATACTGTGACTGAAGTCAATGAATATTAAACTATGATATTATACGTATATTGGAGTATGTGTGTACAGTTGGAGTATATATCTAATGTGTGTGTGTGTAGTAAATGTGTATTAGAGTATGTTTAACTACCCCATAAGTTCAAACATCTAGCTATCTTATTATATAAATGTCTATTTAACGTATAAAAATTATATCGAGTTACTGAAAACAGTCTCACCCACCCATTTTTGAACTCACGGTTATATGCAAATAATCAGGCGAATTATTCATGATGTCTCTTACGATAATCAAATTTGAACCTCGCACTAAAAAACCCTTTAAATATTCGTATCCGATTTTTTAGCAAATGTATAGAAATTGAAATATAGAGTAACGACATCAGTATGAGAGAAGCTCAAAAGATTGTGTTAGATATTCTGTCATTTAATAAGATTTTTCAGATTGAGTTGATGTTTTTTTTTTACCTTAGCTTTGTCTTCACAACTTTTAATCTCTCTCTGTCTCTCTCTCTCTCTCTTTTTCATGGGCTGACACCTATCTTGCAGCACATTTTGTCATTCTCTGAAAATTTTTATTGCCACTATATTAAGAAGGAAACCATAGTCCCATTTACAGTATAATGGGCTGGGCTAAGTTTGCTTAGATTGAGTTGTTAAAAAGTACTACCCTTATTGGGCTAAAATGCCCATTAAAATTTAGTCTATTTTTGGGCTAATATATACTAGGCCCATCTATTTTTCTGCACCAGACTACTGGGCTGAAACTCACCAATAATAAGGCCCCATTCATAGTGTTGGACCTTTCCAATTCAAAAACACTTAAAATTTGCAAATGGATATTTAGTCCCTTTGTAAGGGTAGGCCTTCATAAAAAAAACTTAGATCAGTAGGAAAATCTACCTACCCTATGTTTTTATTTAATCACCTTAAAATTTCGACATATCATTTAAATTTTGGTTAGGATAGTGGAAATCTCACTCATTCTATTCTTTTTAGTTATAAAAGTTGTCTATCACTTACTTCTCCCGACCGTTAATGGCTTGGAGCACTGTGCATTGTGCATGACATTTTTTCAAACATTCTTGTTATGCTTAGGGAGATTGTAATGTTATTTCCAATGACTGATGCAGATTTGGACATACTGGAATGTACAAGACCTTCATGTTTGGTAGTCCAAGCATCATTATCACAGTGCCTGAGGCATGCAGGAGAGTTTTAACAGACGATGAAGCGTTTAAGCCTGGATGGCCTACTTCCACACTGAAACTCATTGGGAGGAAATCATTCATTGGCATTTCTTATGATGAGCACAAGCGACTACGTCGATTAACAGCAGCACCAGTTAATGGCCATGAGGCATTGTCCATGTATCTGAGGTACATTGAAGATAATGTAGTGTCTGCCTTGGATAAATGGGCAGGAATGGGAGAAATCGAGTTCTTGACTGAGCTTCGAAAGCTTACTTTTAGGATAATCATGTACATTTTTCTAAGCTCGGAGAGTGAGCAGGCGATGGAGGCCCTGGAGAGGGAGTATACAGCTCTTAATTATGGAGTTAGAGCCATGGCGATTAATATCCCGGGATTTGCTTACCACAAAGCACTCAAGGTTTGGTTTTTTTTATCTATGTTCATACATAATCTTTCAACTTCAATCTATGAACATCAATCTTATATAAGCATTTTCTAAGGTTTTCAACCTAGTTTACATATATAGGACAATTATCTGCTAGAACACTTACACAAACCATAAGAAAGAAACAGTTTTATAGTTAGCCTCAAATGATGCCAATGTTCCTTTTGCATATATAGCATAGCTTCTGAAGAGTTAAATTGCTTACAGTTTAATGAAGAATGTGGCCTTTGATAAGCTCAAATGGAGATGTATAGTCCATGTAACTGACCCCCAAATAGTTGGGATGAAGGCTTTGTTGATACTTGAAACTGAATAGAGTAAATTTCAGGCACGGAAAAAGCTCGTGGCTACTTTTCAGTCCATAGTGGATGAGCGAAGGGAGCGAAGAAGGAAGAATCCAACAACACCGAAAAAAGACATGATGGATGCTTTACTGGATGTTGAAGATGAGAATGGCAGAAGATTGAATGATGAGGAAATCATCGACGTTCTAGTAATGTACCTGAATGCTGGTCATGAATCTTCTGGACACATCACAATGTGGGCTACTCTGTTCCTAGAGAAACATCCTGAATTCTTCCAAAGAGCTAAGGTATCAAAATCAAGCTTATGCCCTCTGTCCCTGTACTTCCTGATTTTATATTTTTGTCAATGTCTGAAAATTTGTTGAGCAAAAGGAATTATTGGAAATTAGGAACTCTAAAATCACAATTTCACTGATGAATGCTAGAAATATACTAATATTTTTCCTTTTCATCTTTCCATGGCAACGTGGTTTCGATGATCAAGAGGACAAAAGTTTTCCTTTCTTTCTTTTGTTCTTTCTTTTACCAAAAGTTTAAACTCGGTTGTCTAAATAAATGGTGGATCATATTCTAGGCGGAGCAAGAGGCAATCGTAAAGAACAGGCCCCCTACACAGAAAGGTTTGGCGCTTAAAGAGGTTCGGGATATGGAGTATCTCTCCAAGGTGTGTGACATGTTATATAGCTTCTAATGAGTCAATTCACATTCAAAATGCTCTCATCACAACTTTTTCCATATTCCTTGAAGGTGATCGATGAAACACTCCGTTTGGTGACTTTCTCATTTGTGGTCTTTCGAGAGGCAAAAGCAGATGTCAATATAAGTGGTCAGTTTATGGTCCATGGATTTCGTTTCAGCTACTTTTATGCTCAACTTAGATGCTGTGTGTTCATCTACAAGGCATTATTATCATAGACTCATCAATATGCAATCTCGAGAACATTTTTCTGATAAAATATGTGTCTCTTTCAAAATGTTGTATGAATGACAAGAAAATAGTATGCTGATAGTGGATTATTGAAGGGAAACGAGTTCATTTTCCTGCGATTTAAACTTTCCAAATACAAATAACATTTGTTTTTCTTTAGATTCTACCAAAATGGTGTCTTAAACTTGAACTGTGTGTCAAAATGCAGCATCATCCAAGTACAAAACTATGACTATATAGGAGAATTAACTTAGCTTTTATGTTTCAGGGTATACCATTCCCAAGGGCTGGAAAGTTCTGGTCTGGTTTAGGAGTGTTCACTTGGATCCTGAAATTTATCCCGAGCCAAAGGAGTTTAATCCTTTGAGATGGGATGTAAGTTTAATACAACCATTCTCTCTCTCTCTTCTATTTGTGTTCTTAACTCTTCTAATAGGTATAAATTCGATTATTTATCATTTTATATGTTTTATGTGTGAATACTGATCGCTTTCAAAACAATTGCAATCAATCTGATATGGCACGCTAACAAGCTTGATGTTGTATGTAGGGTCTAACACCCAAAGCAGGAACTTACCTTCCATTTGGAGCTGGAAGCAGAACATGCCCTGGAAATGATCTTGCCAAACTAGAAATTGCGGTTTTTCTTCATTATTTTCTGCTTAATTACAAGTGAGTCATGTTGCTTCCATTTGTTTCATATCTGTTATTCCTCTGAAGTGCTACTCTGATATTACAGATAACAACATCTTAATTCATATCTTTTATTTTACAGGCTCGAACGACTTAATCCAGCATGCCCCTTAATGTACCTACCCCATTCGAGGCCTAAAGATAATTGCCTGGGAAGAATAAGAAGAGTTTCTTCTTCTTGAAGTGTATAGGCAGAAAAAAAGAAACATACGGACTTATTTTTTTGGCTTAGTTATAAATTTATTGCTTTCAAATTTTGTATTTGCTGCTTAATCCTAGAGATCATACAAATCTCTGGTAGTATAACATGAAGAAATTGGTTGCAGGATCTTAGAATGCATGTGACTAAAGGGAAAACCAAAGTCCAGCAAAATTGAATACTTATTCTCACTGACCTAAGCTGTTTAATCCTAGAGATCACACAAATCTCTGGTAGTATAACATGAAGAAATTGGTTGCAGCCTCTTATAATCCATTTGACTAGAGGGGAAACCAAAGTCCATCAAAATAAGTGCTTATTCTCCCTCAACTAAGCTGCTTAATCCTAGAGATCTAGGAAGCACGGATACTTCCCAGAGGGCGTTGTAGCAGTGTCGGACACAGTCAAACATGTGTTGGACACGGCTAAAAATGTCATGAATAGTGAATTCAATCGGACACGGATAGGATACGTCTAAAATATGACAAGAATTTTTTTTTTTAAAATACTTGATGACTATTAAAAGAGGTGTTATTTCTAATTTTTTTAATATAATTTTTGTTATGTAGCTTATATACTATTAATGTTAATGGATGTAATGATATTTGATAAAAATGATGGATATTTATTTTGATCTATTTTAGTTTTAATAAAAAACTTAATATTTGCTAGGTCTTATTATTAATATTGTTATAATATATGTCTTATTTTAATACATTTATAATTCTATTATTATTTAAAAAATATTTATATTATTTTAATAAGTCGTACCATTAATGTACCCATGTCTTATAATTTTGAATTTTGTCGTATCTTCAAAGTTGAGGATTTTAGAGCTTGATCAAAGAAGAACTACTTAATTGCAGTGGTTTGTAAAAAAATTACATTTGATTTTCTCCTTGTTCAATAATAGATCGACTAGGCAGAAAGTTTTTTCCTTGCAAGCTTCCCTTTAATTAGGCAGAAAGTGATGAAAATTTTCCAGAACATCATGATAGTTAATTAAAAATTGACGAATAAAAATTTCTAAATAAGAATTATTATGATATTATTAGAAATCAACTTTTACTTCAAAAAATAAGAATTAATTTTAAAATTTGATGATCCAATCTAATTTTTTTGTGATGGTATCAAATTAAAGTTAATATTGACAAGTTGTATACAACTAAAAATCTAACATTAAATATAACTTATCCAATGACCCTATTCAAGAAAAATCATGATTGTGCCACTATGTATATATACATGTGCCTACATATGTATGGTAGTATATTTATATTCTAGTAATTGGTCGTTCCTTAAAGTAGTTCAAACACGGAGTAACAAAAAAATTATATATTGTGTAAAAAATTCACATATGCACAATAATTTGAACATGTAAATTGAAAGATCCAAAATATTAACACTTTCAAATGAAAACCGAAAAGAGCCATATCATAATCATACATAAATGGTTAAACCCAAAAAAAAAAAAAAAAAATGGAAAAGGCTGTGAAAGAGTTAAAGTAGATAATATGCAAAAAATAACGTATTTGAATTGTTAGTATTACTCAAGCATCAAGCATTTGCTAAAATTTACATAATTCAGTGCTAATGAAAACTACTACTCAAAAAGTTATAATCCTAGAACACTAAAATAAATCTATATAAAAGTGGATGATTTTTAACAACACCATCGATAGTTAGAACAACAATCAGAGTGTTTCATGATTGCAACCAATAATCAAAGTAATGAATACTCTCACGATCACTCCCACTTGATCAATAAACTAAGTAATTAAAGCAAAAGACACCGTCATGATCATCACTACTTCAATAACCATTTCTCCAAATGACACTTTCAAATAGGGGTTATTGGGACAAAGTCATGGGGTGAACTATATTAATTAAAGAAGAGAAGTTGTTTGGTTTTTGGTGCGTCTTGGCCTGGTAGAGCATGGCAGAGAAGTGTTGGAGGGAGTTATGAAAGTTGTTAGAGCGAGTGTAGGCTGAGATGAAGGAGGGCATTTGGTCGAATAGTCGGTTTGAGTTTGGGGTCGGGTCCAAGGTCGAGCTCTGGGTTTGAGTCTAGGTCCGGGGTTGGTCCAAGTCTGGGGTTAGGTCCAGGTCCAGGTTCAGGTCTGAGGTCGGGTCGGGGTCGAGTTCGAGTCTGGGGTTGAATATGGGTCTAAGTCTAGGGGTCGGGTTTAGGTCCCAAGTTCGGGTCGGATCTAGGGTCCACTACGAGGCATGCATACTTTGTTAAAGGCAATATATCATATCATATACGATACTCGTCACATACTTGATAATACATATCGGATGCATATCAAACGTATTCAATAATAAATAAAATATATGAATATTTCGAGGATACTTCTATATACAAAGAAGTATGTATAATTTTTAGTTTCAATCTTTATCCATTCCTTTTGATTTTACATACAATGTAATATATTAACAAAAAATCATGACTTTGAAGACACATGCGTGATTTTCACGTATACACTATCACATGTCTAAATAGTATAAATGAGTTATTGCTCTATAATTTTAGTAATAAATACTTTTTAGTAAATAATCTAGTTAAATGTTGGTTCTTATTCCTTTAATTAATCATGTTCACTTTAGTAGTTGTACCATAGTGATGCGATAGACAATTTTTTAACAATAAAAATTTATTAATGTGGTTTATTATTGTTAAAGAATCACTAAACATTATAACTATTAAATCATTACATAATAATAAAAATATATACTATATATATTTATAGACTAAATGTATCTTGATCGTACTCATTTCTTATTTTTTGAGATTTTACTATATCGTATCGTACCTATATCTTGTATCTCGTATTCATACTTTCTAGAGGTGGAGGGTCAGGTTCGAGTTTGGGGGTCGAGTTTGAGTCTAGGGTCAGGTCCTGGTCCTAGTCTAGAGTCAGTTTGAGTCTAGGTTGGTGTTGGGTCTGGGGTCGGGCCCAAGTCTAGGTTCTGGTCAAGTCTGGGTATCGGGGTGGGGGTCGGGCACATAAGGTCAATGACAAGGTTAGGTCCCGATATGGGTCCAGTCCAGATCTAGATGTGGGGCCCAGGGTCCAAGTTTGGGTCCAGGTCAGGGTTAAGTTTGGGTTTAGTGTATGTGTGTATTTTAGTGTATTAGTATTGCACGGGATAATACCTGTAATAGTATGAGACAACGATCTCCAAGCTGGCGAACCTGAAACAACATGGTCAGAAAAAAGGGAGTCAGGCGAGTGCCCGACTAATCTCCTTCGAAGCTTAAGTTAATATAAGGTCGAATGATTTTGCTCAATGGATTATTTTTCTGATTCGAGTTTGCGTACCTTTGTCCATTTTTCTGAGGAGTATTTATATTTGAATTAGAAATGATTGCCAAAGATCTCCAGTCTCATATGAACATCTTACATTTGACACACCATTCCTCGTGCAATGAGTGTTTTCTACTCACGTCTCTTTCAATTGAATGCTAGGAAAATGGGATAAATGCTCGGCCAAATGTCGAGCATTTATGCCACTCCCCGAGTACCCAAATCTCCCAGATTGGCATCCGACATCCACTGAACATTGAATACTCGGGGAGAACAGTTCCTCGGGAGAGTCGATCATGTCGTCTCGGCGCATCAGCCATTAATGCTTAGCCATCATGACAATAGGCTTAGACTCCCAGAGACAGGTACTGGCAAGCGCACATTTATTTGTCTTGTCTTGTCTTTATCACTCATTCCGCCATAAAAATGAGGGGTCACATCACATTAAATACGATCCCAACTATCATACTCGGTTGCTCCGTGTCACCATACATCGGCTTATCTCCTCGGCACCCTTTGGATATCCCAACGGCTTCATTATGCCACGTGTCAACCCGGGGGCTGTAGAGCCACCTAGAATCCTGCCAAATATATATATATATATATATATATATATATATATGGTGTATTAATGTGTGATATTTTGGTGTGTTATTAAAATTATCTTTAATCAATGATTTGAACTATAAAAAGTAAAAACCATTTTTTATATTTGCTGAGATTTGAACTACAAGGTCACTACTACTTCATTAAATTAATAAATTATGTTTGCATTTATATTCGGCTATGTATGAGTAAGATGTTTTAAACATGTTTTTCATTTTAAGCAAAGAGTAATGACTCGAGTGAAATCATTGGATCAATTCCCAAGTTTTAATATTTGATGGGACCCGTAATTAATCCAAAGAGTATAGTAAATTAAGTCAATAAATTCGATCTCAATAGTATTTTTAATTTTATAATAATCATTTTTAAAAAAGATAAAATGAAGCCAAAATAATATTTTTTTACTTAAAAAGATTCAGTGATCAAGCAAAAGATAAAATTTTATAAAAATCATTTTTAATTTACAGAAAATAAAAATGTTACCAAAGTCCTCACAGAGTTTTGTTTTTTCAAATTTTTTGTGTGTTCATCGGGGCAGAATTGAACCGACAATCTACAAAACCATTAAACCAAGTTGAAGTCGGGTCATAGGACTCTCTCTGTGTCTCTCCTTCGTTCTCAGTTTAGAGACTTCCCTCCCCAGTTGAAGCCATGCCAGTTAGCTTTTCTCACTGCAGACTGAGGTAAGGCTATACACACATCTTCTACTGTATAACATCTTTACTTCAATCCCACAAAGACATAACTTTACTTCAATTCAAACTTTGTTTGATCACTGAATAGTTAAATTTGGATTGTAATTCAGTTTCTGTCTATTCACTTCAGTTGAAATGATCCCACTGCTCAGAAGAAAACAACCCTTCAAACCAATCCTAACAAACCCTAAAACCCTACGATTTCTGTCCACACCCATCTACTCTAAACCTCCCCAAACCCCTAAAACCCCATGTAGGGTTTCACAACTTAGACCCTTTTCGACCCAATCCACTAAATTCCCCGAATACGAAATGCCATCGGTCACATGGGGTGTAGTCCAAGGCCGTAGAGAAAAACTCGTCTCCAGGGTCATAATTTGTGACTATTTGAAGAGTGTAGGTATAATCCCCGATGAGTTAGAGAATCTTGAATTACCCTCCACTGTTGAAGTCATGCGGGAACGTGTTGAGTTCTTGCAAAAACTAGGCCTGACTGTCGATGATATTAATGAATATCCATTAATGCTTGGTTGTAGTGTGCGGAAGAACTTGATTCCTGTGATGGGTTATTTAGAAAAGATTGGAATTCAAAGGTCAAAACTCGGGGAGTTTATAAAGAATTACCCACAATGCCTTCATGCAAGTGTTGTGGTTGAGCTTGTCCCGGTTATTAAGTTTCTTCGAGGGCTTGATGTGGAGAGACAAGATATGGGTTATGTGTTGATGAAGTATCCGGAGTTACTAGGGTTTAAGCTTGAAGGGACAATGAGTACTTCGGTAGCATATCTTGTTAGTATTGGGGTTAATCCGAGGGATATTGGACCAATGGTAACACAATATCCATATTTTTTGGGGATGAGGGTTGGGACAATGATTAAACCACTTGTGGATTACTTGGTTTCTTTGGGTTTACCAAAGAAAGTGTTGGTGAGGATGTTTGAGAAGAGGGCCTATATACTTGGGTATGATCTTGAAGAGACAGTTAAACCGAATGTGGATTGCTTGGTCAGTTTTGGGATTCGGAGGGAAGCGCTTGCTTCAGTTATTGCACAGTATCCACAAATTATTGGACTTCCTTTGAAAGCTAAATTGTCTTCGCAGCAATATTTCTTCAACTTGAAGCTGAAAATTGACCCTGAAGGGTTTGCTCGTGTTATCGAGATGATGCCCCAGATTGTGAGCCTTAACCAACATGTGATCATGAAACCTGTTGAGTTCCTTCTTGGACGGGGTATCCCAGCCGGGGATGTGTCAAAGATGATTGTGAAATGCCCCCAGTTAGTTGCTCTTCAAGTAGGGCTTATGAAAAACAGTTATTACTTCTATAAGAGTGAAATGGGGAGGCCAATAAAAGAGCTTGTGGAGTTCCCAGAATACTTCACTTATAGCTTGGAATCAAGGATCAAACCCAGGTACCAGAGGTTACAAAGCAAGGGAATTAGGTGTTCCCTTGCTTGGTTCCTTAACTGTAGTGACCAGCGATTTGAAGAGAGATTGCAGGCTGATTATATTGAAACAGAGAGTGCTGGTCCATCATTTCTTATGGGTGGAAAGTTGGAGTTACCGGGAAGTGAGATTGTATCTGAAGAGGAAGAGGACAGTGATGATGAGATACTTTACAGGCGGACTGTTTCCCTGTAGCAAAAGTTGTTTGTCACGATATTTAATCATTCCTAACTTATAAATGCTATCAAAGGTGTTTCTTTTTACTGATTTACTTTGCAGTGTTCCCTTTGAATTTTATTTGTGATTCCATGATGCATAAAAGCTCAAAGTTCTTTTTTTGGGTCAGTAAAGCTCAGAGTTCTGTGGCATCTACATTTCCTATAATTATTGTAGAAATGAATGATTTTTGAGTGAAGTAGCCTTGTGTAAGTTCTGCCCCATTTTCCTTTTTTCTTTTTCTATTTTTGTACTTGTAATCTTAGTGCCCAAGATTGCCCGACATTGGTAGATGTATCTTATTTGGCATTCAGATATATTGACAAGTTCAGAAAGCAGGAAATCACTGAAACAATGGGAAAGGTTTATTAAACCCGCAATGGCATGAATATTATCTTCGTTTTAGTTCATGAAGTTTGTCAAGGCTTGTGGATAGATGCCCATACAAACCTGCACCTTCTAAGTTTCTAACCATATTCAACTAGAATGCACTTGGCATTCTTTGCAGTTCAATCCTATAAAAAACCAGTTCGACTACTCCAATTGCCCACTTGTGTTTATCCTGCTATTTGATAGAAATTCGGATACGTTTGATAGTATGAAACCTTTACCGATAGCAGATGGTCGACTGATGGACTGAATAGTACTTTTGAGCAGTTTGTTTATATTGATTTTATTTTTTTAAAAAAAAATTTGGGCAAGAAATTCTGTTTGACTCTGACAAGGTGGCTCTGCTTTCTTGGTGGTACTCTGTTATTGTTTTTGTATATTCACTTGCCCTTGATAACTATGCTTAGAAGTAGGCTGACATGATTCTTAGGATTAAAACTTTTTTGGCTTAATTACACTTTGATCCCCTAGACTACAGCCCCAATCTTGTTTTGTACCATATACGATTAGTTTATTCTCATTAGTCCCTCAACCTTTTTTTTTTGATTATCAGATAAAGGTGGAGGGCCGACCAGTAAGTAGTAATTTCCCTTGGGTGTGATTGTAAGGGTCTTTTCCACTATGGAATGTCTGGTTTGAGATATAGTTACTAACTCAGAAAGATAGTCTATCACCATAGCACTACCAAAGCCAAACAACAAACTGTGTTAACTACATGAGAGTGAGAGCGAAGGACGACCCTAAACATGTACTGCTTGCCACTAGACCACTAGCTTGCAAGGATTTACATTGAAATGGGCTGCTCCATTATTCCTTAGTGGAGTGAAACCAATAGGCAGATTCAACAATGCAACAATAAGTCAATTATCATCGAGGTGCTGAATTTTGCAATTCCTTCGAAACATTTTGGGTGAATTATCCTCCAATCACGTCACCCGATTTTCATTCATCATTTTTCTCAATTTTTTTGCATCCATCTCGTAACCAGCCCATCAAATAAGTGGGAGCCTCAGTTCATGCAGTCGCCTCTATAATCCCCATTCCTTCTATTCGAAAGGTGAGTTTCCCTTTAAACAAAAAAGCACTGAGAGGGCTCTCTTACATGTTACATGTAAGCCTTAAAGTAGTGGGTAGTCCCGAAAACCAAACTTCTGGTGTATAATACTTGGTTATAGAAATAAAGTTGTAAGGATTTTCAGACAATATATGAATGCTGGAAATAATATCGCGAAAGAAGAAAATAGAAAAATCCACTTATTTTTACTAAATTGCTAAACTTTGAAGCAACTATTTTGGTAAATGAGCCCAACTACTAGCAAAAACAGTCACAACTTCTTGCAAAAATAGGAAAAAGTACTAAAAGAAATGACTTCTGTCAACACCATTGATTTCATTTTATTGTAATTTTTTTTATTTGCAGGCCCCTGTAAATGAAATTAGTTTATTTCTTTTTAACTTTAAAAAATCGATCCCCAACCCCTAATCCTTTGTTACGATACATAATAAGTTTTTTGTTTATATCAACATTTAGAAAAAATTGAATCACACACAACCTTATTTTCAAAAATATTAGTTCACCAACTCAAACGTATGAAATATCGTTTAAACAAATAAACCTTGTTATGGTCCAAATCTTTTAGACGGATAAACTTTTGCCATGGTCTAAATCTAACCTCTAACTCCCCCACCCTCTCAACCTAAAAAGAATAATATTTATAAAAGACACCCAAATTTTTAACCATAGGAATTAATGGGGTAAAACTTTTGTTTACTTGACATTTAGCAATTGGGCCACTCCCAACAATCTCATGTAACACCACATGATCTATTGGCAAGTTGTACCCATTTAGTATTGTCCTTGACTCTCACGTGATGATCAAATAAAGTTCGATTTACAGGAGTAACATGATTTGGTGCTTGATGTTGGTGGTGTTATGGTAATAAATGGTCCTTCTGAATTAACAGTTATAGTTTAAATCAGACATTTTTGTAGTAGGGGTTACTTATAGTCATGTTCATGTTCAAGGGTTATTATTTACTTGTCAAATAAATATTGGGTGTAATGGTAACACCACGTCATCAATGTCACGTGATATCACTTATCAATTATAAAATAACAAATATGATTAGTAAACTCTACTATTCTATTTATATAAAAAAAAAACCCTGCTATTCTAACATAACATGTATTAGATAAAATGATTATTGATAGTAATTAAAATAGTGGAACCCCCTAAATTCACTTAGATTTCTATCACTAGTTAGTTAGAAACAACCTCATGTAACCAGAGTTACCTAACCGTCGAAGTCAAATTCCACCACGAAGACCATTAAACTTCTTTTCTTGGTTGCATTTTCATAGCTAATGGCGGCAACGGCTAGTTTCGTTCAGAAGTTAGGTAATGCAGTTAAGGAAGTGGCGAGAAGCAAAGGGTCAAGCTGGTGGTACACTCCCCACATGGCCGCAGCCTCTCGTGCAATAGCGGAACGAATCCCATTGGTTGATCTTGTCCTGGAAGTCAGAGATGCGCGGGTACAGTCTCTATATGCTCACTCTTCCCCCCTTCTTTTGGACACTCTTATTTGGATTACAATATTTCTTGACGATTATATGTTTGATGAAATGTCTGAGAGGCTCCCTTTGTTGTATTTTTTTGCGAGTTTTACTGTTTTAAATATTTGCGTTTCGGGTTTTTAACTGTGACTAATGTTTAACCAAATATGTTTGAGTAAATATTACTGTTTTGTAATCTGGGTTTGGGGGATTAAACCATGTAAATTTTTTGAGTCATGGTTTTCTACAAAAGGTTAGAAGTTGGATACATGTTTGTTTGCCCACACTCGTGCTCGCACACATACACAAAAAGAGTACTAAAGGACCAAGGTATGGGAATATGGATGCCTCAGTGACGCAAGGAACTTGGTAAATCCGCTTAAGCTGGTACACTGCAACTGAAAAAACAGATTTTAAGAGGGTAGTGCAAAAACCTGTATCCTTTGAATGGGTAGCTTATTCTCACCACCTTTTTTTTGTCAGGAGCTTATTCTCACACCTACGTGTATACCTGTAGTTTTTGTAGTTCTTATGTCCATTAATCTCAATTTTCTATATTCTGTTTTCTTATTTATCCAACTGTTATTAGATTCCTTTATCATCCGAATTTGAGCAACTGAGAAATTTTCCATCTTCCTCGAGGCACATCATTGTACTCAACAAGATGGACCTTGCAAGTCGCTCCCAACTGAAGGTATTGGTTTTTCCTCAATTTCTTTCTCAACGGCCTCTATTCTAGAAGATATTATTACTTGCTAGAATTGTGCAAATAAAGGAAGCGTGACTTCCATTTCTACTGTGAATATAATGTACCTTTTGTGGTGTAAGATCAATCATTGCTATCAGATGGTATGACTCAAATCTTACCAAACAAGTGAGTTTGAGTTCTTAGAAGCCTTCGAATACTTTTAAGCATGACTTTCTTTGGAGTATGAGTTTTTGATATGTGGACCATGAAACAGATGGCCGAGGCTTGTACTAAATTTTTGTGAGATAAAACATGGTTTAAAATTTTCTGGTCTGCTTTTCTTCTTTATATAATTTATCTTCTATTTAATTAATATCAAACTCTTTTGAGGGAGCAATATAGTTATTTTGGACAAGTACAAACAAACACCTAAATTCTGTGAGAAAATTGACCAAAACAACATTAACACCAGCTTCATTGGGCTGATCATTTTTGGTTTCTATTGTTAACGTTAACACCATCTTCATCCACCAGAACAACTTTAACACAGGAAGTTCATTTTAGGGTCCTTATCGCTGAGAAAGGACATACAGTTTTGAGTTTTATTCGTCTTCAGTCCAAATTGGGGCTTTTAAACTTTAAGAAGTGCAGAAAATTAAACCCAGAAAAAAAAAAAGAAAAAGAAAAGCAAAGCAAGATGTTCGTTATAACCTATAGATCCACTCATCAAAATTAGGATTAGAATTTCTCACATGATCTTCAAAGAGCATAATTACCGAGAACTTCTCTGTTTTTCTTTCAAAAATTTTTCTGTTGAATTGGAAGCATTTAAATTTAATGGCTGTGTATTAACTGCTTGGTGGTCCTTCCTCAACTAGAATTTGGAATTATATGCAGAAGTTCACTCACTTTGACTAGTAAAAGCCATGTCAACCTATGAAATGCCATATATAAAGACAAAATAACCCCTAAAGGCTAAACCCACTGTAGCCCATCCAACAAAGTTGGACGAACATATCCAAGATTGAATAGCAGCATATAAAATTAAATAGGACTATAGTAAAACTAAAACTTGACTTAGTATGGACCCAACTGAACTTGCTTTGATATTAAGTTAATCATCAAGATATCTTTGCTATCCTTTCACTTCTTATGTATTGTCAATGCTGGCTTTCCAATTTTTTAGCCCCTTGGGAGAAATATTTTTATTTAACTAGAAGTGATGATGTAAATGAGTTGGCAAACTCTATCTTAGACTTGGTGCCATTAATGCCTGGGTACCAGTTTCATTTTGACACAAGATATTTTGTTCTGTATGAGTTACAAGGACTTCCAAAGATTGATATCCATTAGACTTATTGAGTTCTAATTTTTCTGTTTGTCACGGCTGCCAATTTTCATATATCAGATAATTCTCTCATGTTTCGTTCATTTCAGGAGTGGACAATGTATTTTGAGCAACACAACCATATATCTTATGGAGTCAATTCACACAATAAGGAGAATATCAAGGAGGTAATTCTAGAAATTTTTTTACAAAGCATAATGCAGGATGTGCTTTGGGACTACTCGTGGAAAATGATTTTCCATTTTGTTGACCTGAGTCGTCATTGAAGTTTTTTTGTTTTTATAGCATCCAGAATGGATAAATTTCAATACATATGAAAGGATCCATTTTATACAGCACACTACTATTAGTCACATCAGTTCCAGTTCTTACAGTACTTGCTGATAATCTCTATGCCTGCTTGACATAGAGATAGAGTAGTCCTGTTAGAAGTGAATTGTGCACTTAGTGCTAAGGCAAACATGGTGGCAGTCAAATACATTTCCGTGGGAGATGCAAACTCCCCAATGTTTTTTTGAAGTTCTATGCCACGTTGCCCAGAGGTTTGATTCCAATTAAGGATGGCCCTCAAATGTGAATGCCTATCATTATTTTGTATCTCGAACTTTTGGCTGTACCTCAGGCACACTTCTGAATGGTTATTTTACGATATACACAAGGAAGTAAAACTCTTTTTCTGTTCACGGATTCTCATGAATTGAGTTTAGTAATGTCTAGTTAAAATTAACATCTTGCAGTTCTTGAACTTTCTACAAGCCAGAGTTAAAGAATACAAGAAGACTGACCATTCGAGTCATACCATAACTATAATGCTCGTTGGGATTCCTAACGTAGGCAAGTCTGCCCTTGCCAACTTGTTGCATCACGTTGGAAGGATCAGTGCTGCAGGTACTTCAGCCTTTTCCAATCTCATTAGCTATGAGAATCTGTTTTTTTTTTCCTTTTCTGTTCTTTTTTAGTCAATTCAATTTCAGATTTATTGATATAATTTTTTTATTTTCTTTTCATTTGGCTAAAAAAATGCTTGATTCTAACTCTATTAGTTGATTATTGACATAAAGAGAAAGGAAAGTTGAAACATGCAATAGTGAGTCCAGAGCCAGGGGAGACAAAAGATATTAGCAGCTTGAAGGTACCCTTCCTTAAAATGTGCTGGTCATGAAGTTCATTTGCAACCACTTCCACACCCTTTGCTGTCTGCATGACAGACCATGTCTTTCAGTGATCACAAAATATTTTTATGTAGTGCAATGAGCTGAATCAAAACTTCAGACCAAATGACTTGGAATTCTAAATGCGTCTACCTGGGGTTGGATGGGTTGTTTTAGGATTCCACATCTTCTTGTCCTTTCCTTCTGGTTCCTGGCAGTAACATGGTATACTTACGCGGGAAATATTACACCTACAAAACTTCAGCATGTACTTTTCTTTTTATTTTCCTCTTTCTAGTATGTTTTCTTGTTTCATCATCCTTTAAAGAGGCTATTTTCATTTGTAGATAGGTAGCCATCCAAATATCTATGTTTTGGACACCCCCGGTGTTTTGCCTCCTAAGGTTCTTGATGCTGAAGTGTGCTCCAAACTAGCTTTAACAGGTATGATTGTAGCAAATACTTTTTTTCTCATTCATCATTGTTTATACTGTACCTATCGGCAAGAGCGGAGCCCGGATTTGTCTTCAGTGTGACCACTTACTGGCTCTTTAACTATCAATGCTATGTGCTATAATGAAATAAGCTTCCATAATGCAATCTTACATTATCGATAAAACTAGCAAGGAAAATATTGCAAGTTATGAAAGAATGAGTCCTAAATGAATTCTTATGGGATTGGTTGGGTACGTTTCTAATGAAGTTAGACTTAAGGAACTCACAAACCTAAATTCAAAAAGAATTGATCCAATAATTATTTTGTCCAAGAATTAATTATGTTAGAAACATACCACTACTAAATATTAAATCAATTTTACTTCTTGACAAAAAAGAATTAACTAAAGAAATGTTCACACAAATAAATTTTGGTTTTTTTTTTTGGTTCTTGTCTTTATATAGGTATAATGGTATATAATTTCTGAGCATCTGGGCTCTAAGAAGGGAAAAATTTGTGCATTGGAAAACCAGCCTTGGCAGATAAAGAGAAAAATAGCAAATGAGAAGAAAACAGAGAAGATCTGATTGTTTGAATCTTGTATTATATTAAATTTGCACTATGTTTTGACATTCTAAAATCAGCCCCCTTGTTTTAAAAGACATTTCACAAATTGACTCCCCTGATTCACATCAATCTTTGTTTGCAAAAATTTTGGGGGGTCATTTGCATATAACCCCTCCAACACTTTGAGAATTTTCAATTTGCTTTGGCTGTGGTCTTATAGTTTCCATCAGGTCAGCTGACTGCACTAGAGCTAAAGCAGCTTCACTGATGCCCATTGATGCTTTAACTTGGTTAGGTCAAGCTGACAACACTTGACTGGGATGGACAAGATAATTTAGACATCTAAATATCCTCCAATTTATTCTCAACTTCTTGTTTTTCCAAATTCAGGAGTTATAAGGGACTCTGTGGTTGATGAGAGACAACTTGCAGAATATTTTCTGGCTATCCTCAGCTTGAGTGACGAGTACAAGAAATGGGCAAAGTTATCTACCTTCGAGAACAATAGATTATTTGCTGATTATATGGTAGAGAGTTCTGGAAGCTCTGAATTGGACAAAAGACGTAGAAAGCAAAGTCCTAAAGATCACACACAGGTATGATCACTTATCCTGTAAATTAGCATCATGTGCAGTGATGATTGCATTGGTCGAAATACGAAATATCTTTTATTTTTGGTCACCATTGGGTGCAAGGTGGATTTTTTCGGATAAATTTGACATGATAAAAATTTGGCTTCATACATCAAAAGCAGTTGACACAATTTGCTCCTCTCCACATTAGACAAATTTAACCCACCGAAAAAATTTTGATTTTTTAGTTTCACAAAGTCATCCTTTTATTTAAGTTGCCGTTGCCTGTATAATTTTTTGTTGGGAGACAAATGGCGCTTTTTGAATGCAGAAAGAATTTTTGCAATAGATCCTTCCTTGTAAGTTTTTTTCTGCCAAATTTTGAGTGTTAACTTGGGAAAACATTTTGTATAGTCCATTTGGAACTTTAAATTGTGTCTCAAAATCTCATAAACTCAATGCGTTGTTTAACACGTTAAAGTCACTTCTCTTTCAATGGCCACTTCTGGATTTTGCTACATGTTTGCACTTAGCACTTTACTGTTTCTCAGGTAAGTAAACAAAATTTTGGTAGCTTGTCTTTGACCTCCCACTTCTGGCTTTTGCTCGTGGTTTTCCTTTGCTTGTACTTGTGTTACTATCATCAATCGCATAAAATTTGTGCTTTGTCGACTCTATAACCCAGTGTAGCAGAATGTGAAGTGGCCATTGCTTGGTTAAATTGTAAAATGCTTGGACTGCCAAGTGTCAGAAAAAATTCAACTATGACATCAGCAACTTCCAGCAAAAATATGAGAAATGTTACGTTCGTTTGTAGTATCATTCTCCTAACAGCATGTGTAAGCATAAACAAACAGTGATTTGACGTATAAATGTAATGTGTAGCTGTTTAGGGCCTTCAGCTTAAACAGTCAAAACCCAACGTAGCTTGTCCTAAGCTAGTTAAGACAAGCTTGGCCATGCAAGGCTTTGGCAGAGGATATATGAGGTTTGAAATTAAGCTCATGGTTTCCCATTTGTCTCTCAGTTTGCTTGTTAGGGGATTTGCATTGCATTATTGGATCTTCTTGTTTTTTGTTTTCATAATAGTGATCTAACAGAAAATAAAATCATTTTACAAATATTTCGGCTTTGCTTCGCCAAAATTGACATTCATGATTGTTCATACAGGATTCCATTGTGCATAATGTTCGACGAACACTCTTTGAGGTAATTTCATCTTTCCATGGTAATCTGGAAGATAAAAAGGATTTGGAACGGCTCATTGAAACACAGTTCACAGCCTTGCAGCAAGCTTTTCACGTTCCTTCTGCATCAGATGAAGATGGACATAACACAGTTTCTTTCAAGTTACTTAATTTATATCGAACTGGAAGGCTTGGCCATTATACTTTAGACTTTCTTCCAAGGAATGCTTCAGGACTTGTTTCAATGTGAGATTCATTGATCTCTTACTTTTTCTGCAAATGTGATAGTTTCTCTTCATATTGATAAAATTGTGTACTATTTGTTAATATCTATTGTATAGCAATGTCGTGGTTTTCTTTTGGTAACCTATTGAATATGTTTTGGAAGCTATATTTTTGGTAAGGGGCCGTTTCAGTAAGGCTTGTGGGTAGGGCTGATAATTGAGTCGAGTTATTTTGGCTCAGTTCTGAATTGGCTCATATAAGACTCTACTCGAGCTCGGCTTATGTTTTAATCGAATGAGTTTGAACAATTTTTTAGACTCATTTAAAAAAAAAGAGCCTAAAAGACTTAGTTCGTTTATATGTAAAATAGTTGAGCTAATTGGACTCGGCTTGAATTTGGCTAAGTTTGGGCTTGACTCATTTTTTAAATGAGCCGAACTTGAACAATTTTTTAAATTTGTTTGAAAAAACAAGCTCAACAGACTCGGCTTAAGTTCATAAAGTTTGACTCGATTATCAGTCTAGTAAGTGAAAACAGTTGAACAGCGAGACCTAAACATGGACTTAACCACCCCTGCTGCCGTATCCAACTCAACCCAAGTGCCAATATCCAAAAGGATTCTAGAGATTTTTGGTGGTCAATGTAATTTACTGGCCATGTAGAGCTGGGGAAGCGTACGCTTTGCATGGCGATAGTAGTTTTGTACTATGTTCCAAAGATGATGTAGCACAAACACAGCCATTGATGCTCCGCAAAAGGATTAGACGTCCCCATGCTACGGTTCCTGCGGTCCAAACCCAGTGTCGCATTAGGTTAGGGAGCTGGGCGATAATGGCTCCTCCACATGCCAAAGTGCGCTGCCTCCTATGCAGGCAACCCTAAATAATCCAAGTGCTATTCTGTCCTCCGGGGACTGGACTCCACAAATTGGTCCTTTCTCCTCTTTCAGCCATGAGCGGTTAGTTTCTTTTTTTTTCTAGGTAGGTACCTTTTGACTTCGGAGTTTGTTCCAACAGCTACGATACATGAGATCCTGATCGTCTTCCTCCCAACCTTTTGGCCTGATGGGGAAGGAAGGAAAGTCGGGTTTTGTAGTACAACCAAAGCCATAATAATATAACTGGTTAAATGCTAAAATGACATCTGAAGGCATAGAAGGAATCAATTGTTCAAAACTCATCACTAGATCTAAAATGGGGCACAATGAAAATATTTAACCAGTACCCAATTCTATGTTGAAATCTCATACACCGGCCAATCAGAATTCAATACAAAGATCAAATCATGTAACTGCCTTGTAAGAAACAACATACATGTTTTTTTTTTGGGTAAGAATGCTAACAAAATGTCATATTGACATTCATCCAGCATTTCTAGCCTCAGCTGTTTTGCTGAAAGGGAATGAAACAACTTTCACCTAATCATCTTTCTTCTGAAGAAAATGTGGTCTTCTTTTACTTATTGGCCTGCATTTCCATGCTGATCGACAGTTTTGGGGTACCCTTAGTATTCTTGTCCAGATTCGCCTCTGTATCCATGCTGATTGGCAGTTTTGGGGTATCCTTAGAATCCTTCTTTATTTCACCTGCATCTGCATCGTCCCTCATAACCACAATTTCCATGTGTTCTTCTTCATGGAACTCCTTGAAATGTGCAATTTTCCCCAATTCTTCCACTTCTTCTATCACAAGGTCAAGCCTTGCCACTGTCTCCAGTAGAAGCGAAATAAAAGCAGCGATTGCGAGTGTCTCTGAAAAGTCAAGACAAGTGATCATAATCTTATTCATTGTTCTGTTAGTGATCTTCTCATTTATATCCTTAACCACTTCTGGCCCCAGGCTCCGCCATCCAAGTAACTCCATAGGCTTGCCTGCTTCAATTTTTTGGATTGGATTGGAAGTAAGGAGCAGCTGTGGTTGAGTCTTAATTGAAGTATCAAGTTCTTCCAAAGCTTCATGAAGGTGATCTGATATGTGGGGTGAACAGTGGTGATGGTTTTTTATGGCTTCTGCAAGCTCCGTAAGAACTTTTACCACTTCTTCTGCAACATGCTCACATGGTTCTCTAAACAAAGCTCGCACGGACCAAGGAACCTGAAACATCAAACAATGGACAAATTCAAGATCAAAAATCTCATAGTTAATCTGATCTCTCTGATGGATAGGAAGCCAACTCCCTAGACTGTGCACAATTCCAACTCGAAAAATGAAAAGTATAAGAAATGGATTTTTCCGTTCTAATACTCTATCCGTGAGTTAAGAAATAAATCTTTCCGTTCTAATACTCTATCCGTGAGTTATCAGTATTTATCAAATCTGTTCCTATCTATCAGAATGCTATTGGATCAAATGACAAAGACATTGTCGAGAAAAAGATGGCTTTTCCCAGATGAAATGAATATTGGATTCATATAACTGGAGAAAGATTTCCCATTCCTTAGCCGGAAAGATATAAGCGGAAAAAGAAAATGCTAGAAAGTAGGACTTGGAAACCATCTGTAACATAAGTGATATGTATATCTTGGGCAACCATAGCAACTCTTTATATTCCATAAACATACATAACACCCAAAATCTAAAAAGAAATAGTACATATGATTTGGCCTGACCCATATTCTCTGCATTAGATATCAACCTAACCATACAATCACTACTTTTTTCAATAACTTGATATTTTATCATATCATCAGGATGAATTCACAGAGTATCAGATGTAGTTAGAGGGACTGTACGAGCATTTTATGGTGCTCTGGTTATATAGGTGATAAACCTAGTTGACAATAATCACAGGCAACTTTAAAATCAATGCTTTCTTTTGTTTGCAATTATTCAAAATAAGACCTCTTTTAGAAGTGTCTTCCATGGAAAGAACATAATACTTTATGCTCGACTACTGCATTAGCTCACAGGGATATATTTAGGAATTGATTCTCTAGGCTCCCGACATATGCCCATATGGCTGTATTCACTGGTATAAAGAAAGTAGGTAGATTTCATTTAACTGCCACAAAACAAAATAGCTTTTACATCGACAAGAAAAATGAAGTGTAAACGTTTGGTAAAAAGAACAAAAGATCTTTGTTTGGTTGTTGAGAAAGCTGATTATGACAGGTAACCTTTGGCTTTGGATTGTTGTAAGAAATTTTGCATTGGTCTCTGTTTTCCCTTCTCAGCAGCAACCAACAGTGGGATAGTCTTGGTAAAGACAACCTGTTACTACTAAGAAACAAATCAATATAGTTACTGTTACTACTAATGAAACAAATCAATATAGTTAAGGTGTTGGACATTGTCTCTCTGGTCAATGAGAAGCTGGTAAGATGCATAGCAGCCAATAAACAAGTCGGTTTTTTTTTTGATTGACAGTAAGTTTTCTCACACATTCAGTCACCTCTAAAACTATTGAAACACAGTCTTGTTTATTAGGGTTTTTTTTCCCTTTTTAACCTTTCCTATAACTTTATATTTTACTTAGAACATAAGGATGTTTAGGTCACTTTATATTATTATTTGACTATATATACGAGACTTTACTCTTACTTTGAGTAACCCTTAAACTCAAATATATCTCTTGTTGGTATCAGAGCTACTAACCCTGACCCTGATCCTAACCCTAGCCTCTGCCAATCGTCATAATCAAACAGACCCAGCCGCTGCCCCTCCTCCATATTGCATCAGCAACTAGCCACCAATCACTTCCCAGCAAGCATCCCAGTCCAACCTATAACCACCGACTGCCCAGTAACCACACCAAGCAGCCACCATTCAAACAACAACCGAACCAGCGAAGTCGTCTCCGTGCCGAAACAACATACTTCACTAAGCCCACTGCCCAGACTTCCGATAACCACCGACTGCCCAGCCAAGCCCACTGTCCAGACCACCTATAACATATACCAACACCGAAAAATCAACACAAATCAGCCCAGCAAACCATCACCGTCAACGGCCCACAAAACCAGCGACCCATTAGCGGAACGACTTGCATTCAGCCACCTATCAGTAAAACCCAGCTACCCACCACCTTAGCTCACCCCAGAACAGTACCGACTGTTGTAAATTGAGAATCTGAAACACTCCAAGTGGATAAACAGTGAGATCTGTAGCATTTTTAAAAGCACTGACTGCCTCACTCCAGGCCATCACCGACTCAATAAACAAATAAGCAAAGCCCAACTAAAGCCCAAAGCCCAAACGAACCAAAAACCCAAAACCGACTGCACCCAAAGCCCAACAAACCCACTGCCCAACCAGCTCGGTACCCACTCTAGCGAACCAGTCCACTGCCGGATCGCGTTCTTCCTCGCAGCTTCGTGTTTTACCTTTGTGCGCCACGTTCTTTGTCGTAGTGTTGTCATCTATTTGCGCCACTACCTTCTTTTTCTGGCCTTTTAAGAGGAGTTGAATCCTCTTATCCGTTGATCTGTTCTTGATGCAGTAGGTCCATTATTTATATTTCCTGGATTTCTAGGCACCGTGACCTAATTATTTGAGAGCTTTCTGGACTTTCTTTAGCTGTCGCTATTGTTCGACCGGAGATATATTATTTTTCATTATTTTATCTCTCTATTTATTTTAGAGTAATTTTATTTGTCACGAGTGCCCACGTATTGTTATTGTTATGACTACTACTGAGAGATTTGAGACCTCTACTGTTGACACCTCTGCTGTTAGTACTTCCCCCTGGAATGTATCTCCTGGTTCTCGTCAGTGTAATAATTGTGGTCAACCAGGCCATCTCAAGGCTATTTGTTGGAAGCTCTATCAGGAGCTTAAGCCGCCTCCTCGCAGCCATACTATTGCTATTGTTGAGGTACCACCACCTACTGTCGTTGTTCCTGCTGCTGCTCCTCCTTGGTAGAGTTATATGGATGCTATCATTTTTCGATTGGATATACTTATGTCCGCCCTGACTTCTCAGGGTCCGACTACTGCTACCACTACAGGTATACCTCGTGTCTTTCATGCTTGCGCCAGTTCGTCTCCCCTTTGGATGTTAGACTCAGGTGCAAATAGTCATATGACTGGCGAGACCCATCACTTCACCACTTTTGACGAACAGTTACATACACAGGTTCAACTAGTAGATGAAACACATATCCCTATTGTTAGTAGGGGTACAATCTGTCTCCCAGATGACTTTACATTACATTCGATTTTTCATGCTCCAAAACTGCCCATGAATCTATTATCTGTACATCAGTTAGCCAGAGATTTTCACTGTACGATTATGTTTTTATCTGATTCGTGTTATTTACAGGACCTGAGTACCAATAAGATTATTATCAGGGGACATGAGAGAGATGAATTGTATTATCTAGGTGACCCACCTCCAGTTTCACCACTTCCTCCACCTCCATCATCTACACTTTTTTTGTCTCTATCTGTTCCTAACTTACATGCTAGTATTTTGTCTAATATTTGTCGTTATGATTTTTCATCAAAAATCGTTCAGTTGTGGCATGACCGTTTTGGGCATACAAATTTTAAATACTTATGTATGTTATATCATGCTTTGAGCAATGCTTGTGTTGGTGGTAAACTTGACTGTGTTATATGTTCCCTATCGAAATATTTTCGGACCAGTTATATTCCTCGCATGCACCAATGACCCAAGCCATTTGACCTAATACACTCTGATATTTGGGGACCCTCTCCTGTTACTGCTCTGTCAAGCGCTCGATACTATGTGACATTTATAGATAATCATACCCGTTGTACTTGGGTCTACCTTTTGCATAGGAAGTCTGATGTACTCCCTATCATCACTAAGTTTCTCCAGATGATTAAGACACAATTCGATGTAATTGTTCGTGCTCTTCGTTCGGATAATGTCAAAGAATATGTTTCTGATGCCTTAGTGTCTCATCTTTCTTCTCAGGGTATCCTTCAGCAGCTTACTTGTCCATATACTCCTGAGCAAAATGGAGTTGCTGAAAGGAAAAATAAGAGTCTAATAGGGATGGTACGTTGTATGCTTAGAGGTATGGGGGTACCAAAATCTTATTGACATTTTGGTGTTTTGACTTCTACTTTTCTGTGTAATCGTACACCGAGTCGTGTTCTTTAGCACGGGCTCCCTTACAGATCTTATTCCCTGAGCGGAAACTTTTTCCGGTCCCCCCTCGTGTTTTTGGTTGCACATGTTTTGTTCAGGATCGGTCTCCTACTCGTCATAAGCTTGATGATAAAACAATGCGTTGTGTTTTTGTGGGCTATTGTCATCAGTCTAAAGGGTATCGGTGTTATGACCCTATCAGGCACCATATGTATCACATTCTAGATGTTACCTTTCTTGAGCACATTCTTTATTTTTCTTCCACTCCTATGTCTGCCCCTCCAATTAATGATACTCCCTTTGATTTTCCGTTACCACAGGAGCCAAAGCCAGTCATCAATCTCTCTTCCACCAGAGCCACGCGTCCCTGTCAATACAAAGTCACCAGTCTCTCTTCCTTTGCAGGTTTATGTTCGTCGCTCTCGCTCTCATCCCCCTATTGATGTCCCTTCTACCTCAAGCGATGCAGATAATATTTCTCAGTTCCTTGAGCATATTGATGCACCTGTTGTTAGTACTGTTGAGATTACAGTATTGAGCCAGTTACTTTCCCTGATGAGACATTGTCAGTGGAGGATGATGATTTAGGACATCGTTATCCGCAGCGTGATCGCCGTCTAGTTATCCGTTATGGTTGGATTGCTCGGACTTTATATTCGATCTCTGCTTATGTTTCTTATGGTGATCTTTATCCTACATTTTGAGCTTATGGTGTGGCCTTATCAGATACACCAGTTCCTCGCTCTGTTTTAGAGGTTATGCAGGAGCCCTAGTGGGTTCTTGCCATGCAGACGGAGATGGACGCTCTTTAGCGTAATCACACATGGGATTTTGTCTCTTTACCTTCAGGGGTGAAGCTTGTTAGTTGTCGCTGGATTTACACCCTGAAGTTTCTTGCGGATGGTTCTATTGATCGTCACAAGGCCAGACTTATAGCGAAGGGCTTTACTCAAGTACCAGGTCGTGATTTTGGTGCTACCTTTGCCCCCGTGGCAAAATTGACTACTGTTCGATTGATTATTTCTCTGGTTGCAGAGTACTCTTGACCTCTTCATCAGTTGGATGTGAAAAATGCATTTCTTCATGGTGATTTGAATGAGATTATTTATATGGATGCACCACCAGACTTTCGTAGTGAGGGGGAGTATGCTGGAAAGGTATGTCGACTGCGTAAGTCTCTTTATGGACTGAAACAATTACCACTAGCCTGGTTCTCTCGCTTTAGTGATGTAGTTGTACGTTTAGGATTTATCAGATGTCATTCTGATCATATTTGCTTCATTCGACGGAACACTTCTAGACAGTGTGTCATCCTTTTGGTATATGTTGATGATATTATTATTACTAGAGATGATGTTTCTGGGACTGTACTGGTCAAAATAGACCTTGGGTTTCTGCGATATTTTCTTGGGATTGAGGTCGCCCGTAGCAGTAGTGGTATTGTTCTTTCTCAGAGAAAGTATGTTATGGATCTTCTCTCAGACACTGAGATATTGGGGTGCAAACCGACATCATCACCTATGATTCCAAACCTAAAGCTTACTGCTGAAGGTGAGGAGTTGAGAGATCCGACTGTTTATCAAAAGTTGGTAGGTAGACTTATCTACCTAGCCAATACTAGGCCAGACATTTCATTCGTTGTCAGCCAAGTTTGTCAGTTCATGCACAGGCCGTGTCAGCCTCATCTTGATGCAGTTCATCATATTCTTCGGTACCTCAAGTCTTGTCTTGGACTTGGGTTGTTTTATGCATCAGAATCTCAGACTGGTTCTCTAATCGGTTATTCAGATTCAGATTATGGGAGAGCATGTGACGGTCGATCTACTACGGGCTTCTGTGCTTTTCGAAAGACTCATCTTATCTCTTGGAAGAGCAAGAAAGAGGCAGTTGTCTCTCG